AATAATCAGTCCAATATCCGGATCGGTCGATCACTTGATTGAGTCGATTAGGTATCGAATCAATCAAGTTTGCTAAATAATTTGGTCGGAACCGAAGTTCTTCCCAAATTTCTTTCGCATGATCCACCAACGCTGCTACCGTCCTTTCCCTTCTTGGTTCCCATCGTTGAACCATTTGTGCCCAAACATTTTCGATTAAATTTAGATCTGGTGAGCGAGCAGGCCATTTAACCAATTGGATCTCCGGATGATCTCGAAACCATGTTTGCGTTTCACGTGAATTATGGACTCCGGAGTTATCCTGCACCAATCGGATCACTGGCATTTCCTCTACGGCGTAAATTGCGCGTACTGATGGAAGAAGGAAATCTTCCTGTACACGAATGTACTCCACAGAGATCATTCTTGCGGGAATGACTGCGAGCTCACCGATTGCACTGCCGGAAATCCAGCTCCACATTGCACATGAAATCCTCCCACTCCTGTGGGTAGGCACAACATGATTTGGATGCAGCCGTTGATCCCTTGGACGCCATACGTGAGGTTGGTGATCGGCAGACGATACAAAGACCTTTTCATCGGTCCAGATCGTTGCCTCCCACTCCTTACGGCTCCTCGCTAAGTTTTCCAAAGCAAACGCGACACGTTGCTCTCGATGTTCGAGAGTCAACGGAATTTTGTGGGCTGGACGGTAGCAACGAAGCCCAGCTTCGTTAAAACGTCGCCGGGCGGTCCTCTGGGATATTGGCAAATTCGCCGCATTGATGGCTTCCTGGGCAGTGCCGAAAGGTTGCTCACCAACTGCAGCGACTAACGCTTGGTTTTCTTGTGCCTCGGTCGTCCGAGGTCCACGATTATGAAGACGGTGATCATGCAAAGCATGATCGCCCCCTTCATTAAATCGTTGTATCCATCGTCGGACAGTTTTCTCAGAACATGGAATAGCAGCAGCAATTTCTGCTACTGTTCTTCCCGCCTGCCACTGCCCCACAATGCGACCTCGTACCTCAGGACACAAGTTCACAGGCATAATCGTTTTCACACTTTTTCACTATCGTCCACTTGATGCTGCGACACCACGATAAGTGATTTATTCAGAGAAAAAAAGGAAAAATATGAACAGCTAAAAAACCCGGTCTCCTAGTAACGAATCAACAAGCAACAACAAGAAAAAAGCGACATTATGACTAAATATGTCTATCATTTCCGATATATTTTTTTCAAAAATCTAACACGGTAACCAAATTTGAACTAAGGATTTGTACTTAGCGGGCAAAAATATATCGGAAATGACTATTCACATTCGTACAACAAAAGAGTTAAATTTTGTCGTTCGGTGTCATTCATCGGCACAACGTGCATTTCTGCTAAGGAGAAAAGAGGAAAGCGTGATACATGGATACTAGAGCGAGCGAGACACCTATAGAGACAGCGCGGTGTCCCTATTGCTGTCTCGCTCATATTCTCTGCATTCAAGCGTTGAGTGAGTGAGACAGCTATTGAGGACACCACTAACAGCTATCACGTCTGCTGATGTTTTCTCTTTCAATCGGACGACGTGTGAAAAGAATGCAACATCGAAATATCTCCCACCACTTCCCCTACGTGCCTTCTTCGCTTCTCTCGCGTTGTACGTCAGACGTACAGTACGCCCTCCGTATACGCCTGTTGGCGCTTTCGACTATTTGACAGACGTATACGGACCCGCCGAGGGACACCATACCTGCCTCTGAGTGTACATGTAGAAATAATTTTTAATTATATATTTTTTAGTAAAAAGAAAAACCGTTCGGGGAGAACCACTACCCTTCAATTGGAACAATTAGTTCAATATATGGAGACGCATTCAGAATTTGCGTCAAATAAGTTTTTAACAAAAGAGGGACGAGTGCACCATAACCAGCAATGGGCTGAGTTAGGAAAAATGCTAAATGAGTTAACGAAAGGACCGGGAAAGACAACGAAGCAATGGCAGACAGTAATTATCTACACACGCAAATGATATATATACATATTTATATATTAATATATATATGCATGATGTAGGTTTGGCGTGATATAAAAAGTAATACTTCTAAAAAAGCATCCAAGTTACGGAATGAGAAAAATCGAACAGGAAATTTTCCAATAAATGCTGACCCGCTGGATAACTTGGAACAGCGTGTAATAGCATATATGGGCCTGGAGTATATACAAGATGCATCTAATGTTCCAGACAGTACACCGGAAGAAGAAGTATAATTAACATTTTTCTTTATACCTATTGTTAGATACGCGTATCAATTTGTAACGCAGTAAACCACAAGTATCAGTAACATAACACCAATGTTAGAATGTTAATATCAGCTCAAACATGTGGTATATATATAACAGTTACATGTTATGTATATATTACATGTTATGTAAATGTTACATAATATCACATATTTGAACTGACATGCTAACTTCGTTTATGTTACTAACATTTGTGCTTACTGAGAATATTATAGTATAATTTTTTTAGTATGCATGTAAACGATGGCATGCTAAGCTGATATATAATGCACATTAAAATATATTGTACCAGCTTGCTACAATATCATTTACATAAACTGCCAAACCTAATATAATTTACTAAGAAATTACTGCTTACACTATGGGTATCAAACAATCTGTCAAAAGTGGCTCTTATTCTGAAGTCTTTTATAGATTAAAATGCATTTGAATATGGCTTAGAGAAGTTACATGATTATTTTAAAAGTTACATTGTTAGAAATTTTCCAACTTAGACTTAATAATCTGAAAGTTTTCTATATAACCAAAGTATGAAAGCTAATAACCATATATATATATATATATATATATATATATATATATATATATATATATATATATATATAATAT